CATAAATTTCTTAATAAACATTAATTTCAATGCCCTACAAACTTGCAACTTTAAGACTATGGGGAAAACAGCAGTCAGAAAAAACTGCCCAATTACTTCATAATACAGAAATCTTTCTGGATCCTCAGTTAGCTATGTTCTAAGGCAGGAGTCAGCAATTTCTTTGCTTCCCTCTGAAGGGGGTAAGCTTGACTGCCACTGGCAGGCCTATGACAAGGAGAAGAATAAAGATGAAAATAAAAGAGCAACAAGGAAGGAGAAGGATAATAGAGAGAAAATGCCAGATGTATATGGTAGGGGGATAGGTCAAGTACCACCACCAATGGCCTTCCCTGGAAATTGTCAACCCATTTAGCTAAATGGGAGTTTGACCCAATCCTAACATGTGTCTACTAATTTATTAGCTGATGGCCATCACTATTTGTGCTAGTCAAGGTGAATGGGTAAGTCAGCTGTCCCATAAGTTTAACTGCCACTTCATAAAAAGGACATCTTTTCTTAAATCCTCCTAGGATTCTTCTATGTTAATCACATGCTAACAAGACTATTCCCATGTTTCTCACAATTCTAGAACTTAAGGGCTTGGTACTTGAACTGGGAAGCCTCTTGAATTATTAAAGTGAACCTAAATCAAGAAAATTAAACTCTTTAAATTTTTTCCTATGAAATGTTCCAAAAATTAGTTAATAAGCAATTACTAATAATCATCAAAACAAAGCATGTTTTCATGAAAACCACTGCAAAAATCTTGTGTTTCCAAAATGAGTAAACTATTTCTGGTCTGTAAGAAGTAGTTTATTTTACATAGAGGATCACCACCATGTTTCTACCTATCAGCAAGACAATTTTCCACAAAAGCAAATCACAGCAGGAAAAAAAAAAAAAGGAATATCAAACAGATAACATTGGGACAAAATAAAAACAGTAAATGAGTAGCTATGAAATTCTAGTTAAGAAAAATGTTTTCAACAAGTGATCTTTACCATACTCAACTTTCCTAAAGACATAAATTGCCTAGACTTTTCAACATCAAAACTTGATAGTCAGTTTAGCAGATGAAAGATGACAAACTGCTGGCTTGGAACCCATTGTATTTTTCACTTTTCACCTGGTTGGTCTTGCATCATGAAATTCTACCTTACTCATGCTAATGCTAGTTTAAATGATCTTCACTTAAACCATAAAATGAAATTTCTGTTCAAAAAGGGCCTTTCAATTTAGGTTTTGTTTAGGATTAAACAACTTCTCAAATATTAAAATCAGATTTTCTAAAGATATATTGCAAATTCTGCAAAGATGACTTTATAGTAATTAATGCTGCTGGGTGAAAACAGTAATTTTAATAGTAGTGATTAGTTTCATAGTATACTTCATTATGAATGGCCTAAATCTAGTTAACATGCAATCAAAAAACCCCAGAAATATTATATTTTAATGATTTAGAAATTGATAAACTTTGAGACAACTTTGCAGAATAACTCTGTTGAATGCAAATAGCTTAAGCAATTCTTAAAAATTTCCCTATTTATTCCACTCTCATAGAGAAATATACATATATATATAACAAATTATTAAGATAGTCAAAATATAGGGATAATCAACTATAAATGTTATACTCAGAGTTATCACCTGTCCCAAATCTAACATGCTAAAGATTCCCTTGCTTTACCATCCTTTTACATAGAAAGCAGGATTTCATTTTGATATTCAAAAGGCTTTGAAAAAAGAAAAAAGTCATTAGATTTGGTATCTCATTTTTTATGGGGAAAAAATCTAGAAGTATGTTCACATGTAAAATAAAATGAATTGTGGAGTTATGAAAGCTACAAGAGCCACAATTTCAGAAAGCCTCATTCTAAAATTATCTGGAAGTGTGTGTGTGTATATGTGTGTGTGTGAAAAAATGAGTGGGAATGTTGTAGAAGCAAGGGTGAGCCATGTGTGGAAGATAAAAATAATCACGTCCATGGTGGGGTCATCATGGCTGGCAGAAAACCCAAAATGTCGTAAAAGAAATGTGTTAGCTTAGAAGGTTTCAACAGTGCCAAAACGTAAAATGTTAAAGCACAGAAACAAAAATGACTGACATAACCCCCACAAATATCAAATTCCGTAACAGGAAGAAAAAATGGACATATGCTTCTTTTTTAATATACCAAATCTTAATTGACTTAATTAAAGATGATATAAAGTGCTTGGCCATGATACCCACCCAAATTCTCATTATCAACGGGCTTATCTTCCCCCACCTTCCACCCAAATTAAATTAAATTTTCCTGCAGAAAAAGTATAGCATCTCTGTATTAGTAAGAATAAGAAATGAAAACAGTGAGTACAACTGATATAGATCCATTGACTTTTATTACAAATGTACTTGATCACTTGGCTTCAAAAGGTTTAAAATCAATACCCTATTTTCTGTATGCCAGTACAAAGCAAACTGCTTTACAAATTAAATACCTAAAAATTTGACAAAAATATTAAAATCTGATGAAAAACAATTATAAAAATCCTTAATATCTCTCTTCAAAAAAGGAGGCAGTCTTCCCAGTCCTATTATACAATATTAATAATATTCACCACTTTTAGAATAGGTAGCTAAATTATATTTTTTCTGTTAGCATACAAAACTCTAACAGATTTTATTTGTATATGCTCCAGGTAAGTTTATGAATGCCATCCGACTGCAATATAATCAACTACCTTTAACTGAATCCTGATTTACACTTATTTAATAATTTGCATAGTTTGAAAGGGATAAAGGTTATTCTACAACTAATTATCATAAGCTATTACAGTGCTATTTTTCAAGGCAATAAAGTATTTGCTCCCAAATGAAATTATCTGTCTTTTTTTAGGCAGGGGTTAAATTTACTAGCAGCTCTCTCCATTACCTGAAAAATCAAATTGGAAGTTATTTCTCTCCAGATGTGAAGACTTAAAAAACACATTGATACACTTTCCACTTTGAGTCAAACTTCAACCCCTGCGTGGGACAACTAGAAAGTGATGCTGTCAAGGTCTTTTGTTTCCCTGTTAGTTTTGGTTTCTACTCTCCATGGCTTTTGAGAAGCTGGAAAAGTTTGTCTTTCCTGACTAGCATTCTTTTCCCATTTGGCAAATATTCATCTACCTCCAATCTGTATCTAGTGGAGGAAAAGCCGACATGGCTTTTCTTATGAACCTCCTTTGTTGTCAAAGGCATGTATAATGATTTCTACAGTTCTGGTTAGTTAACTTTAGCTCCCTCTGTGGCTGGATGACTGCTGCTTCTAATATCAGCATGATAAATAGGAGGCACAAATAAAAAGTAGCTTAAAAAAAGATTTGGTGATTCAAAAGAAAAACATAAACAAACAGATAACATCAAACACACACATATATGGGCATTTCAAATCTGGTGGCTGATCTCTGGGTTAAATTACTTGACAGTGTCTCTCATTTTAAAGAATGTCAATATCGCAATGCAGTTCAAGTTTTTATACTTAGGCAAACAACATAGTTGAACCAAGCTCTTGGACCTTAATTATAAGACAAAGCAGATGAATAAATAAGGCATACTTGTCAGGAATTAAGTTTCATTTGTGTTTTTGGCATATTTGATCATACTGTCTTTTATGAATAATGCATATGTTCAAATATACCCTTTCCTTTCTTTTTTGTTTCAGCATAAATAGCGTTTACCAACTAATAAAATAAAAACAAGGAAAAACTCCAACATAAAACACTGAAATATAGAACCTT